TAGCTACGCAAGTTATCCCTTGATGATGTTGAAGTGAAAGAGGGGAATCAGGATGGGGCATCCACACTTTTTACCTGCTCTTTGGGGGAAAATCCAAGAACAGTAAAATAAGAGGTTTCCTTCCAGTCATATTAAGGATTCATTAAATTCAGCAATTTATCTCCATAAGGGTCAAAAGTAAAAAGAGGAGGTGAGTAGGAAGCCTTCTTGTTTTTTCACCTCCTTGCAAATTCTGTCAACCATATTAACCATTAAGTAAGCTCAGACCACACTGGGCAAGTTTTGCATTCCCATTTATTCCTTTCTCCCCCTGACAGATTTGAATTTCTATGAGTCTTCTGCAACACACCACTTCTCTCTAGATGATGCTTCTTTAAGGTTTCTAACTTAGAGAAGGAGCCACTTCTTAGTTTCTAGGCTAAAATGTTATGTGCAGACCCAATTGATGGATATTAGTCAATCCGGAAAACATTTAGCAGAAAATGGTGCATTGTTTAAATAATGGAATGGGGTGATAATTTGAAAATGTGTAATTTGTGATTTTAATGAGCTGCCATCGTGTAGAATGTCAGGGATGGTTTGACGTATTCCCTGCTATTCTTCAAATGCTGATAACTAGCTACTGGCAGAGAAACTAAATAACTTTGCCTTTGGCCTGTTGACAGGTGCTCCATCATTGGAAAAGTTTCAGATTCTTCCAGTAGTGAGACTTGGTCCCATTTAAGCTACCAAATGAACTATTTGTGCTGTTTCTTCTTTCAAAGCAATGTGAATTCACTCTTCTGCAAAAGGCAGGCCCCATTCAACCTCTTCCTTTTCTTCAGGTCATCTCAGCCACAAACTTTAGGTCATGATTTCCACTCTCTCCATGCTAGAGAAAATCTTCACCTGCTGAATTTGTATGTATTCTGCTATTATCAGAAGCAAAAGAGACACAGGTGCATTGAGTCTGTCTGAAAACTGCACAACCCCCCAGCCTTTCTCTTTAGGTGTTCCAGGGAGCCCTGTTAGAATTTCAAGAATCCAAACTTTCATTTAAAAATATTGTATCTAGCGCTCATGTTTGCCATGGTTTCAGAAGAAGAAATTGTCTAGTGTCAACTGTGGTTTCCATAAACACTACTCATACTGACCCTTCTTTCTTGTTACAAACTGGTGAGCATGATTGGAACAATATATAGCTCTTTCAGAATTTCTCCCTTGATGAGTGTAGTCAGACACAAAACATCCATTTATCAGAAGGCAGATTAGTGAAGTTGCTTCCTGTTAAGCCATCCAGCTTCCTGGACATTTTGACCTTTATTTTTTTCTTTTTTCCTGGACAATTGAACCCACTTTTGATCAGAGCACTGAACTTCAACCACTCTCTTCTTCCAAATTTTAAAATCATGTATGGCCTGCTTCCCATTGTTATTTTGTTAACTAAAAAGAAAAATAAAACTTTTCTTTAAAAAAATCAGATGGAACAGAGAGTCTGGAAGCGATCAAGGGATTTGTTGGTAGGCTTGCTGGTCCCAGAAGATTCACACTGCAACTGTGAATGAACAATAAAAGAGGAGAGAAGTCCTACAACTGATACAAAGAACCAGATTGGTATAATACAGTAGTGGGATTCAGCTAGTTCGCACCACTTCGGGAGAACCGGTTGTTAACTTTCTGAGCAGTTTGGTGAACTGGTTGTTGGAAGAAATCATTAGGACAGAGAACTGGTTGTTAAATTATTTGAATCCCACCACTGGCACAATAGTGAATGCTGGAAACTGGGAGACTGTGAATTCTAATCCCTCCTTACTTACAAGGCTAGTTGGTCTTAAGAACAAGGAGGAAATGGCAAGCCAAATACTGAAAAACATTGCCATGAAAACTATAGGGACTTGTCTGGCAGGTATTAGGAGTCAAAAATTGAATTCACACACACGCACACACATACACACACACACACTCACTCACTCACTCACATTTGGAAACAGAGCATTAAGTGAGCTGAATCCTTGCTTTGATTAAACAAGACAGATATTATGTATTTATAACGCTTGTAAGATTTTTAAAAGTGTGGATTATTTTCCCTATTATTATTCTTGTTTTCTTCCTGTTGCTATTGCTGCTTTCTAGCTGTTCCTATCTAAGCTTGCATGATCTAATTGTGCTTTACTTCCATCGGTATACCTACTGGTGTGTTTACATTTCTGTTAATTGTTGTATGATGGATTGGAAGATGAGCAGAGTGACTTATTTCATGTCTGTGGTGTCACTTACACTCGCATGGACAAAGATCAATAGGCAAATTATAGAGTCTTTAGATCCTGTATTTCATTTTTAACCTAAGCATTTTTGCTACTGATTATGATTGCAAATGCAACTCTGACACATTGATTTAAATGCTTTCATTATTTTCCTCACTCAAAAATGAGACAAGCCATGACAAAGAAGTTAATTGCAACTCAATAGACCTATGCTAATGTTTTATTAAGAAGAGAATAAGTCATGACTGCCTTTTTGGCAAAGCAAACCTGCTAATAATAAGGCAATAAGAAGAAACTTGGTGTATCAGCCTTGAAAATAGTAAAGCAATTTTTAAGGCACTGCCTTAGAACAGAGAGAAACTGAAGTTCACACTTCCCAACAGAGAGATGTTGAAACGTATAAGGTGGCTGCTGCTCCAGATGTTGGAAGNAGAGAGAGAGAGAAAACACATGGCTGGCAAGCCACTCCCACCAGGTCATATGGCCGGCAAGCCACTCCCACAAAGGAGGCCACACCCACAGGGTAGGTTCCAAAAATTTTTGAAACCCACCACTGACCTCTATATACCCCCATGGAGGGCATTATTGTTGTGTGAACTGCACAAGTTTCCATTAGGCTTCTTGGTGCAATTCAAGGTGTGGCAAGGGTCTTTCTCCCCAATGGTTTCTGTCTACTCACCAGATCTGGCAGAAAGTGCATGCTCCAAGTACCCTCAATAAAACAGTGATGTTTTGCAGATCCTTGGAATCATGCCTCCTCTTTTAAGTGTTTGCTTTATAGGACAGCCTCCCTCCTGAATGATAGACAACCCTAACTTAACTGGCTTTATTGGCTTTTTGCAAAGCTGTGAGGATTTGGCTCTTTCCCCAGGTGTTGAAGTTGGGAAGTTAGCATGGGGTTCTGGTACTGGTGTATGTGATTGGTAGTTTCCTGGCTTTACTGAGTCACAGTATGGTTTTATTTGTTTTTAGTTTAGTTTAGTGGAATTCTTTGTTTTTATCTTGTACACCACCTAGAGTCGGGATGGCGAATCTATGGCATGTGTGCCACTAACAAAAATCATGCAGAAAAAAAGATAAATGTTACTGAATTATGGATGCAGAAACAGTAAACTGGAGAAATTTAATATTTACTCCAGCAATTAGTGCTGGAGTAAATAAAGGAAGATTGCTCCCTTGAGGTGATGATCAGCAAGGAAAAGCTCACATCTTGGGGCCTGTCATCAAAGTAGATTATTGAATAGAAAAAAATTATCATACTTGACAAAGTTGGAAGAAATAGAACATAGATTAACAGAGTTGGATGGGACCTTGGAGGTCTTCGAGTCCAACCCTCGGCTGGAGCAGGAGACCCTATACCAGAAAAATGGCTGTCCAGTCTCTTTTTGATAGCCTCTAGTGATGGAGCACCCGCAGCCTCTGGAGGCAAGCCATTCCATTGGTTGATTTCTCTCATTGTTAGGAAACGTCTGCTTAGGTCTAGCTTGCTTCTCTCCTTGATTAGTTTCCATCCATTGTTTCTTTTCTTGCCTTCTGGTGCTTTGGAAGACAATGGAAAAGGTGGCTGGATTAGATCAAAAAGGCTACTGGAATGTCCTTGGAATGGTTACTGTTGGAAATATGTGAAAGTGGCAAGCCTTTGTATTCGGTCCAGACTGAACAAAATGGAGCTTAACTAACTAGATCCAGTTGTATGTTTATATTTTATGCCTGTAGGTCCACTGCAATTTTGAGGGTCCCCCCCCCAAAAGGGTAATTTTAGTTTAATGAAAATAATTTTGGAAATTGTGGGCGCTTCATCACTGGAAGTTTTTAAGAAGAGAATGGAAAGCCACTTTGTCTGAGATGGCATAAGGCAGTGATGACTAACCTTTTTTGGATCACATGCCAAAAGCAGGGGGAGCACAGGTGAGTTGTGCACGGGCATGCCCACACCCGTAATGCTATGCGTACGACCCCCGCGCTCATGTGTATGCGACCCCCACCCTCCCCCACTTTTGAAATGCTTTTTTTGCCCTCCCCAGGCTCCAGAAACTTTCTAGGAACCCGGGCAAGGCGAATACAGTGTCCCTTGCCACCCCAGAGGCTCCCTGGAGGCTTCAGGAGGCTTCCCTGAAGCCTCTGGAAGGTGAAAAATGGCTCTTGGGCAACCTGGAAGTTTGGGAATGGTGACTTCCAGTTTGCCTGTAGGGCCGTTTTTCACCCTCCGGAGCCAAAAAGCTGCCGAAAAAGAAGACTGAAGTCAGCTGGCTAGTGTGCTCATGCACGCTGGAGCTGACAGGGCAACACCTCGCGTGCCCTAACAAATGGCTCTGTGTGCCACCTGTGGCACATTTCCCATAGGTTCACCATCATGGGCAAAAGGTCTCCTTTTTGATCAGGAGACTGGACTAGAAGACCTCCAAGGTCCCTTCCAGCTCTATTCTATTCTATTTCTTATGTAATCATAAGCCAAAGAAAAATGTTGGATATATTGTCACAAACTACTATTCGACTAGTTCTGCCTTTCAATGATACCAAATTGTTCTGAACTGAATTTGAATAATATATCTTTTGTCACTTCACAAATATTTTAATTGTCACCAAACAGTAACTGTAATTATCTAATTATAGCCCTAAATATTCTGTGTAGAACAGCATGAACAATACTGGAATAACATCATCGACATTGTAAACTGCTTTGCTTTTTTGTTTCCTAAATGATAGGTGAGTCATGGTCATTCATGGCCCCAAACCTTTTTTTCCTCCTTTCCTCAGGCTGGACAAAGTTTGCCCGTTTGACGCGAGCTCTGACAAACAGCCGGAGTGTTCTACAGCAGCTAACTCCCATGAACAAAGCTGAGGTGATCCATAAACACTCTCGATTAGCTGAAGTAAGATTTCATTGAAACATAAAAGGAAAAGTGTTACCTTTTATGATTATGGGATCTAGTACCATAAAAGATCCTGTGGTACAAAGGGCTTAAGGAAGGAGACAATGGAAAGTTGGGGAGAATGGAACAAGAACATCATAATAACCAGGGGTGGGGTCCTACCGGTTTAACAATCGGTTCACCGAGCATGTACTTCGCTCTGCACCCACACAGTGCATTTGAAAACTTACCCTCTACTGCAGCCCCGGTGCAAAACAGCTGAGACACAGCAATCAGCTCTGATGTACCGCTCAGCTGGGCTTCAGAAAAGGGAACAAAGGTGAGTATAGCGCAGGGGCAGGTGGGCCCAACCGAAGGTCGGAGTGAACCGGTTCGCTCCCAGCTGATATTCGGAGCTACCGATTCACCTGAATCCCACCCCTGACAATAACACTCAAGATGTCCTGAACTATCATTAATACATGTTCTCTCTATTAAATCTGTTGGGGTAAGTAGAAACAGTTGGAAGAAGACAGCCAAACAAGTAGCCTAGGTGATGGAGAGCTATTTAGGTGATGAATGGCACCTTGAATTGTACTGGGAAGCCTACTCTGAACCAATATAAATCACGGAGTAGTGGTGCTGCATAGGTGTAATGAAGAATGTCAAAAAATGTCTGCCCCGCTAGAGTCGAGTATGAGTAAGCTTAGAATGATTTCATTTTAATTCATCTCTAATTTGTTTTATCTGTTCTGCAGTGCATGAGTTTGCCTGTCATTGCATTGTTCTAATATCTGTGTCTCTTTTGTCAAAGGTTCTCCAGCTGGGATCTGATATCCTTCCACAATATAAGCAAGAGGCCCCAAAGACTCCGCCACATATAATTTTACACTACTGTGCTTTTAAGACCACTTGGGACTGGGTCATCTTAATTCTCACCTTCTACACAGCCATTATGGTTCCCTACAACGTTTCCTTCAAAACAAAGCAGAACAACATTGCTTGGTTGGTCCTGGATAGTGTGGTAGATGTTATTTTTCTGGTGGACATAGTTTTGAATTTTCATACTACCTTTGTTGGACCTGGTGGAGAGGTAATATCTGATCCCAAACTCATCAGGATGAATTACCTGAAAACCTGGTTTGTGATAGACCTTTTGTCATGTTTACCTTATGACATCATCAATGCCTTTGAGAATGTAGATGAGGTAAGCAATATCACTTTACTGTAATCTGTTTGATCATTGTTGTTATAGTTTTCATAGATGATCAAATTTGCCTAATATTGTTTAGCTTTGATGAATGACATCTCATGGAAGATCTTATAGCTTTCTAAGACTTTGATATCACAAAAAAGAAAACCATGTCTTGTTTTTTAATGTCTCCGAGTAGCACATGTACTTACTTGAAGCAAAAAGTGGCAGACATTTCTTGGATCAGAGGCATATTGGAATCTTGAAAACATGAGATTGATCCATTCAGAAAGTTGTTGCTATGGGAAACATTCAAGCATTTATCGTTGCAGCCAAAGGCTAGATTTTTTTGAACCCCACCTCGCACCCCACATCCCTGCTACAGGCCCTCTTCTTTCACTCATAGCCAACTAAATACCTCTAAGGAACTCATAAGAAACTCATAAGTATGGCAGAAGTGCAGTAGTGCTCGGGTATCCCTGCAACTCCTATTGAAAGGCAAATTGCACTTGGTTCTGGGTGCAATGTGCATTTATTCCTAGCATTATTCTCCATACCTTCGTACAATCCCCTTTAGCAGTTTTTGGAGACATTGGCCATCATGTTACATTTGTAATGCTTCTCTGTATTGGTTCTTGTTCTATCCTCAGAGCTATGGAAAATGAATCAACAGTCCCCTGTGAAAGCCCTCAAAGTATCTGAAAACTTTTTTTATTGTAAACCATCCAGAGTAATTTTAGAAGATATGGGCAGTGTAGAAATTTGGTAGATAGATGATGACAGATATATAGATAAATCAATAAAGCTGCTGTTGTATCTTTTCTTAGTCCTCGCTTTGTTACACTAAACATATCTAGTTTCTTTAAGTGTTTTTCATAAAATTCAACCTTCCAGCCCTTCATATCTCAGGATTCGCATTTTGCTTTTAATCACAAACCATTCTAAATAATTTGGTGTCATCTGCAAACATGACCTTGCAACTATTAACTCCTGATTAGAAATGTCAAGTTTAAAAGCACCATTTTGACAGGTGTTCAGAGTTTAATAAATTATTATTAGAAGGTTGGTAGCACAGTCAAGCAGATGACACTGGATTTGACATTTTTATCCACTTGCTGAGTTCTTCCCAAAGACTTGGGTTAGGCAGATGTTGTGGTTTGATGATGTTAAAGTATCATCACAAGATGTAAACTGTTCCAAGTAAAGCTACCTTTTACAATGGACTGTTGGTGGTTTTCTCAATGTTAGTAGTGTTCAGATGGTGCTCTGAATGCTTTGGGCTTGCACCCAAGGCACGTATAACAAAAGGACACTATCTTTGCTTTGTTTTGCCATGGTCATTCTACTTGTATTTGCAGGCTTTTATATTTTGTGATTCTCTTCTGTTCTTTCTCTTCTCTTCTGCTGTCTCCAGGACTGCAATGTCCATTACCAGATTTTTAAAAAATCTTTCTTATTGACAATTGTTAAGTCTAGAATGTTATGTGGCAGGTGTTTGTTTGTTTGAATTCAGATGTCCCAGAACAATTTAACATCTTCCTTTTCTATTACTTTGTCTACTTTGTGGTCCCACCAATTCTTGCTTGCATGCAAATGGTATTTCTTGCAGATATTCCAATGTACCTATGTTGCTACTATGTCGTGCTGTTATATATTATTATTTTATTTACATTTACAATAGCAGAGTTGGAAGGGACCTTGGAGATCTTCTAGTCCAACCCCCTTCCTAGGCAGGAAACCCTATACTGTTTCAGACAAATGGCTATCCAATTTGTTAGCAGTTTTTGGAAACATTACGACGACGATGATGATGATGATGATGATGATGATGATGATGATGATGATGATGATGATGATGATGTAGTTAATCTTTGGTGAGATTCACAGACTTTGGGGCTGGTTGATAGCTCAACAGCTTGAGTCTTAACCAAGGACCTAGGAACTGTTAAGGTAACATCGGAGGATATAAGTTGTTCCAAGTAGGGTTGTTGTTGTTGTTGTTGTTGTTGTTGTTGTTACTGTTATTGTTATTATTATTCCTCTTATTTTCATTTGCTATTTATAGTCCAATTGCTAATACCTAGGAGCTTTTAATCTTTTTTCATAGTGCTTACTGCTAGGAGCTTCTTATCCTAGCTACTAAGTTTTCAGGAATCACTGGGGTGGGATGTCTAATGAAGAATTGCTATCAAAATCCATGTAATTTGAAGCTGCCTTTTGCTGAGCATAATGTCACCAGATCAATTGAATGTGGTCAATAGCAATGCAAATCTGTTGCTCATAAACTTCCAATGGCCCTACCTGAAATACCAGTCAGTTTCAACATCATTGAAATTGACTGGATAATTGCTAGATGTCGATGGCATGATTTTCACATAAAACATAAAGCACACATAAAACATGCAAACGTTTCATTTCTACCTAACAGTGCAGCTCCATGCTGCTGTTGTTCCCGGAGATAGTAGCATTTATTTGTGTAAGAGTCCAAATTCACAACAGGGTAGATGCAGAGCTGTGTTCCAAGCCCTTCATTTTCCAAACTATATGTAAAAAAATTGAACTTTGATTTCCCACCATATTGCAGATCTGACCTCTCCCTCTTCAGATACTGTTGCTTGGAGGCTAAAATATTTTTTTTCTTCCCTTGGCCACACATACACAAAATCCACCCATTATCTAAGCCTTATCTAAGAATGTAATTCCATGATCTATTGCGGAGCTATTTCTGTTGCAAACCTTAAGGCTGCCTTCCACATATAAAAGAGTTGAAAAGTACATTAAAATTTGAAAACTACATTTAAAATCAGCCCATAATGTCAAATTCTATTTTAAACCATTAGGAAAATAGCAGTTGAGAGCAGGCAAACATGAATCTAATTATTTAATACAAACCATTCAGCTGTCTAAAGCCCTGGATTATGTTCTTGGTTCCAGAGAGGCATTTTAATCCACGGAGAAAAAGAAGTTAAGGTTGTATGAAGAATGTGGATAGATAGTTTCCCTTCTTTTGTAATGGTAAGATGAAATTGGCGAATTTCCTTACAAAGTACTTATTAATTAATTCAGTTCATGTGCCAGAATGCGGTGAGCAATATTAACTGGCAATATTGAATAAATCTGGTGACTACTAAGCCATCATTTATATATACCAGGGCTTGTATCCTGGCTATCTCTATGTGCTTTGGACTATTGAAGTAACAATCCTAGGGAACATGGCCAGTTTAAATATCTGGAGGTTGCCTAGTCTTCAAGTTGAAGGGCCTTAACAAAGCCAATTAATCAAGGTCCTAAAAAGTACACTTTTTTCCCCTGTGGCCACCCCTACCACTAGGCTCCTATCCTTCTATTCTTCTGGACAGACATTAACATATGTCTCCTAACGCAGATATAGATAGTCTTCAGCTTACAACCACAATTGAGCCCAAAATTTCTGTTTCTAAGCAGGACAATTGTAAGTGAGTTTTGCCCCATTTTGCAACTTTTCTTGCCACAGTTGTTAAGTGAATCACTGCAGCTGATTAAGTTAGTAACCTGGTTGTTAAGTGAATCTGGCTTCCACATTGACTTTGTTTGTCAAAAGGTCACAAACGTTGATCGCATGACCCCGGGACACAGCAAAAGTCATTAATATGATCCAGTTGCCAAGCATCTGAATTTTGATCACATGATCATGGGGATGCCGCAAAAGTTGTAACTATGAAAAGTCATAAGTCACATTTTTCATTACCATTCTAACTTTGAGCAGACACTAAATGAACTGTTGTAAGTTGAGGGGTACCTGTACTTAGGACAGAGTGATAGGAGTAGTGGTGGGTTGCTCCCGGTTTAGCCCAGTTCGGCCNATTGGGGGGAGAGGGGAGGTGCATAATAGCTTGCAGTTGCAAAAGGGGGGTTTCTGAATTTGAATTCAGAGTGCACCTGCTTCTCAAATTTTTGATCTACCTAATCTTTTCCCACCCTCTCTGTCATAGTTTTGCTAGCCAAAAGAGGAAGAAATTATTTACTTTGTTTGTTTTGTTAAATTTATTTGCTACCTATCTTTCTGTAGGACTGCTCTAAGTGGCTTACAATAACAAAAAGGAAGAAAAATGAAAAGTGTGTAAACAGAAATAAAATAATAGAAGAATAAAAATAAAAATGACAAAGGAACACAATGAAAATAAATACAAGGAGATGGGACACAATATACCCTAGGAGTCCTGGAGTGAGAAAATATAGACTGAGAAAATTGAATATTTAATTTCTCAAACTACAGGTCTGGCTCAATTTGGACACCTTCTCTTCCTACCCATACTACTATTTCTATATAAACATGGGAGTCCTATGTCAGGCATTGGTCTTGTTGTAAGGGCTCCAGATTAGAGGAAGATAGGAAGCCAAAGGGATAGATGTAGTCAGAATGAGACAGTCAGAATGTAGTCAGAATGAGACAGTACAGTCAAGAATAGTTTATCGCTGTGTATAATGACAAGATGCATAGTCTGATACATGACTTTGCTACAAGGGCTTTTTATGTTTGGCTTGTTTTGAGACTTAATCAAAAGGCTTGTGCTGAAATTTACCAAAAGCAAATGCCACAGTCTGTCCTGGGCTTCTGAACATCTTTGAGACAAAAAAACAAATAGTTTTTCTAGCGGTGATCAGAAATCTTCAGTTCAATTCAACATTGCTTCAGTTCATCACACTCAAGAGCCAAACTGAACTGATTCAGTTTAGATCATTGGATTAATTTGGAAAAAGTGACAATTCAATTAGCCATCAGACTGAACTTTTGAAACAAATATTCTCACGGTGCATATTTTTCTAAAGCTCTTGAAATTTACTTTTTCCATTGTACATCTTACTTTGTTTAGAATACCAGAATTTTTAGATTTTCGTTTTTGTTTGAAAAAAATATTGCCATATATGATCCAATGCTTTTTCATGTAAAATTTGTTTATATATACTATTTTGAAAGTACCATAATTTTAAAGGGAATGTAATTTAATTCAATGTGATTTCAGTTCCTGGAACCC